AAACTATAAAATCAATATAAAATGTTTAATGTGAGTGAAATGGCAAATTAACAAAATCTAAGGAAAGAATTAGTGAACTAGACATGGTTCTGAAGAAATCCATATCAATCTATCAAAAAATAAAGAACATATGATTTGGGATATAAAGAAAGATTATGAAATTTAGAGGACAAAAGTAAAAGGTCTAAAATATATATAAATAGTTTCAGAAGGACAGAATAAGGCAAAATTTGAGATGTGGTTGACAATTCTCCAGAATTTATGAAAGAAATGAACCCCTCGACAAATGAAGTATGTGCTACATCAAGCATGATAAATAAAATGAAATCTATGATAAAGTGAACTGAATTTGAAGAACCTCCATGACAATGGGAGTGTTAAAAGCCATTAGGAAGAAAAGATCACAACAAAGAATAACTGGAAGATTAATAGCAGACTTTTTAATAGCAATCATGGAAACCAAAAGACAGTGGAATGATATCTGTAAGTGCTGAGGAGAAAACATCCTATGAAATTATAATTATAAACCCAGAAACTATCTTTTGAGTACATGTCAAAAGAAATTATATTTTTCAAATAAATAAAATCTGAAACAGTTTAATACCAAAAATCACCTACATTTAAGGAATTTTCTAGAGAATTCATTTAGGAGAAAGAAATGGTTCTAGAAAATCTGGAAGAAGAGCAGCAAAGAAAATGGTAAACATATAAGGTAAACCTAATACATGTTTACTTAATAAAGTGATACTGATCATTTGTGAAGGTTTAATATAAAGAAAGAAAATAAAATATTAAAAATAGTATATACATGAGAATTAGGAGAGGAATGGTAAGAGTTAATGTCCTCAGCTTTCTGTCTTTCAGTGACAGGGTTCAGATGTTATTTGTAGCTTTTGTTAAATCTTCATGGTAAAATTTTAGGGGTAACCATAAGGAATGGAAATAGAGGGTGTCATTTCCACAGCAGGTCGAAGGAAAATTATATAAGGGAAAGGAACAGAAGAGGCTTCTTCTTATCAAATATTTTTTTTAAAAAATCAACCAGACTTGTAAAGTCTCTGTAAATCCTTCAGATTTAAAAATGATTTGGGGAGAGAATGCTGATAGCTCCATGGTAGCAATTAAACCAAGGCAGAAGGAGGAGGGGGAAGAAAGAAGACGCAAGGACTACTGGTGATAGAAGAGGAAGCTAGGAAGTTTTATGGCTGAGTCATCAAAGGTGAAGGGACAGTGGCTTATCCTGGTCTCTCTCCAGGCTTGGGGCAGAAGTAGGAGGCAGGGTCATGCCAGCTGATGACGGAGACTGAGGGGAGAACAGGGTGCTGTTGTAGTAATTATGAGCAGCTCTGGTGCTGGAAAAGTCCACACATCAAATTGGGATGTGTACTTTGACTTAAAGAAGGTTTCATCCTGGCCCCAGCTTGGCCACAGAGATCAAGGAAGTAGGTAGACAGAGAAGGCAGAAGAAGAACTATGGGACATCTCCCCAGACAGCACCCAGGACAGCTACCACCCTGCCACTCCCTGATCATACTGGAAAGGAGGCAGAAGCCAGGAGGTATAAGGATTGACACAATCCTTGAAGGCAAAAAACAGCCAGACAAGAGCCAGAAACAAGAGGGTAACACTGGACAGCATGGATCCTAGCAGCATGGGATGATGTGCCCAGACACAGGCACATCTACGGTTAAATCATGCAAATGTTAGGGGACCCTGATCTTTACCCACTCCTGGCCACTACATGCCCAAGAGTTCCCTCCTTCCACTCAAATATGTGAACTTATTGAACAGGAAAAAACACATAAATTAAAGCATACTTAGGGGAATATAGCACAGATTTAAAGGTACTTAAAAATATAGCAGGTTACAGCACTTTCCCCTCACCCCCACCATTATCCTCAGTTTCATTTTCCACAGTTTCAGTTACCCACAGCCAACTGCTGTCTGAAAATGTTAAATGGAAAATTCCAGAAATAAACAATTGGTGATTTTTTAATTGTGCACCGTTCGGAGTAGCAAGATAAAATCTCATGCCATCCCACTCTGTCCTGCTCAGAACGTGAATCATAGCTTTGCCTAGTATGACAACACGGTGTATACTGCCCACAAGTGAGTCACTCAGCAGCCTTCTCAGTTATCATGTCACTGTCATGGTATCACAGTGTGTACATTCAAGTAACCCTCATTTTACTTAATAACAGCCTCTAAAGTGCAAGAGTAATGATGCTGGTGATTTTATTACACAGTATACCATTATAATTGTTTTATCCTTGGTCATTATTAATCTCTTACTATTCCTAATTTATAAATTAAACTCTTATCATTATATGTATAAGTAGGAAAACACAGTATATTGGGGGTTTGGTACTATTCACAGATTCAGGCATCCACTGGGTGTCTTGGAACATATCCTCCACAGATAAGGGGGGACTAGTATAATAATAGCTCATGAGTATACACTTCCTATTCTGTGCCAGACACCATTATAAGTACTTGACATCTATGATCTCAGTTAATCTTCATGTCAATCTTCATGTACCCAAGATCCAACAACAAACAAGAGACAGTGATGGAATTCAAACACTGGTTCCAGAATATTTATTTTTAGTATTATGCTGCCTCTGAAGGGTGGAGGATATTTTGCCTGCAAAAGGCAAAATTCATGGTTTAAGCTATGGACTGAATGTTTCTCAAAATTCGTATGTTAAATCCCTAATTCTCATTGTGATAGTATTTGGAGGTGGGCCCTTAGACAGATAATTAGGTCCCAAGAGTAGAGCCCTTACAGGAAGAGACACAAGTGAGATGATTTCTCTCTTTGCCACATAAAGATTCAGAAAGACACGAGAAAGAGGGCCCTAGTCATGACTTCAGACTTCCAGTCCCCTGAACTATGAGAAATAAATTATCATTTAAGCCAGCCACCCAGTCTATGGTATTTGTTATAGAATCTGGAGCTAAGACTGTTGGGGAATAATGGATTGTCTTCAAATATTTGAACGTCTGTACATGGAACAAGGGTTAAACTTTGTTTATATGAACCAAAAAGATTAGAACTAGGAGAGGGTTTTCTTTCCATCCTCTGTATATAGTCAAAGTTCCCCGAAGATGAAATGGGCCTCCCCAGAAGGTGGTGAGTTCTGTCACTGGCTATCAGATGCTCTTAATGTTGGTAACATGCAGAGAATTTAAGCACTGAGTGGGTTGTTAAGTGAGACTATAAAATTTCTTGCAATTCCTGAGAGTATATAGATTCTTGAGGGTCAGGACTAAAAGCTCAGTACCAAAGAACTGGATGCCAAGGCTTCTTAACTTCCATAGCAACTATATAATCCACTGCTTTGCTAGGGATCATTCTGGAGTTAGAATTTGCGTTTGAATGTTTTAAGACTCTACATGCCCAGATAGCTTGAGTGGTTGTGTCCTCCTCAAACTTTATCTGTCCTTCAGAGGTAGGCGTAGACATCACCTCCTCCAGAATGTTCCCCAACCACCACTAACACCATCGCAGGTGCCCACATCACCCCACCTTTCCCTGATCATGCCACTTCTCACACTACAGAGAGTGTTGTCTGTTTGAGCATCAACCTCCCCAAGTTGGTTTCCCAGGGTTATAGTAACAAGTTACCACAAACAGACGGTTTAAAGCAATAAAATTTATTTTCTCACCATTCTGAAGGTTAGAAGTCTGAAATTAAGATGTCAGAGTAATGTTCCCTCAGAAGCTGCTAGAAAAGAATCTATCCTCTCCTCTTCTGAACTTCTGATGATTGCCAGCAATTCTTGGCCTTTGGTAGCTTAAGGTTATATCCCTCGATTTTCTGCCTCCATCTTCACATAAGCTTCTCCCCTCAGTCTGTCTCTTGGTGCGTCCTTCTCTTTTTATAGGAACATCAGTTTTATGCGATTCAGGGCCCACTCTATTTCAATATGACCTCATCTTAATATAAGTAATTATGTCTTCAAAGTCCCTATATCCAAATAAGGTTTTATCCACAAGGACCAGGGATTAAGACTCAGGTCTAGGATGGAGACCACCAATTCTGTTTTAAAGCAGCTCTGAGCCTGCAGGGAGACAACAGGAGCAAAACTTACCCTCCCAAGCTTAAAAAAAAAAAAATTATGGGCAAGACATTATCATGGTGGAAGATATGTCCAAGGAATATTTAAGGAATTTGGTCTCTTTATAAATCTTATGACAGATGAATGTGTGGAGATGGCAACTGTGGGCAACAGAACAATATTGGAATGGTGGTAATAGGAAGAAATAGAAACATCACATTACAAGCCTTAGAACAAGTATAAATAATGGCTATTCAGCACAGAGATCCATGTCCCCTCTCCAAAGGGCTTGTTTTACTATGATATAAAACTGGGTCATATAATTTTCATATTAAGCTTTTTGTTTAATAAATTTTTGTAATAGTAAAAAGAAAAAAAATCAATCTATCATTTAGAGGACATAATTCGACCAACCACATCACCCAACCCCCCACACTCAATAGATTGTGGGCTCTTCATTCTACATATTTTTATTGTGTCTATCATGAACTGCATTCTGTTCTGGGCAACAAGGACAAGCCACAGTCAAGGTCACTAGACTTGATGGAGCTTCTATTCTACATGGAGATTGACAATAAAATGTGCCCTTTGGTGATTGAAGCCAAATGCCAAGTGTATATAAGTACATATTGCAAAATATACAAACACTTGATACATATTCGATGAATAAGTATTAACAATGAAACACAAAGGATAAATCATTGTACTTCACCCAGCCAGTGGTCATCAATATTTTTACTAGAATCTGAGAGTTTGGTTTCTCTCTGTCCCTTGTAAAACTCTGTTCTTCAGTACTTGAATTCTTACTCTCAGTTGATACCCACAATCCAATTCCTCAAGTAATGTATTCTGACTACCAGAAAATAAAGAACCTGGTTTTTTAATTAAATCTGAGCATCTCCCTTAAAGAACACACTTGCACTCTGTTTGCCTTCCAGGGCAGCGTCAGCTCCTCCCAGTCTCCCTTCGTCCAAATGCCAGGTGAGTACTTCAATTCAGTGGGCAATTAATTTCCTTTCAAAATGAAACTGAGCATTTGGGCTCCTGTTTTGTTTGTTTGTTTTGTTTTGTTTTGTTTGTTTGTTGGTGGTGGTGGTTGGTTTTGGTTTTTTACACACCTGCCTTACATGACTTTAACAAATTTTTTTCTTTAAAATAACTATTTTCAAAACATAAAATCAGTGAAGACAGACCTCATTCAGTCATTCCTATACTTAGAATCTATTGTGCCTTGAAGTCAGCCTTTTGATCCCCAGCCTAGAAGAAAGTGCAAAGGCAAGGAGAATTAAGCCCCTGACAGTTTTAAAAACAAAGTTCTGACATGATATTATAGACGAGGTACCTACTTCAGACAGAGAGAGAAAGATACCTAAGGGCAGAGATGTGGAACTACCATTCAGTGGGTGCTCTCTGCACATCAACCACTCAGTTGAGCATGATGTATTCATTTCAACACACATCTCATTAAATATTTCTGTGAGGATGGAAAAGGAGCATTCTTTTTCTTTTTTCTTTTCTTTTTTTTTTTTAATAGAGTCTAAGTTGCCCAGCCTGTCACAGTCCTCCTGGTGAACCTCCAGAGTAGCTGGGGTTACAGATATATAGCACCAAACGAGGGAAATTCTTAGTAGTAATCTGGGACATTCTCATCCACACATGCACACACAAAAAAATCCCACACCTCTGAGCGCTCAAACTCAGAAGTGCCATAGGCCTTCTCAATCGTTTTAGAGCCCATAGTACTGGATAAGAAAAATAAATAAGGGCCTTAGAGGATTTCAAATAAACAAATGTCTCTGTGTTAAGTTTTCTAATCATATTTTATGCCATTGCACTGTGCTTTCATCTGCTCTCTTCTACACAGAGAAACTTCTGCAGCTTCTCTTTTCATCTAGAATTCTTCTTCCTTCTTTTAAGGAGAAAAAGGTAGGCTTTAAGAGAGCAGAGGTTTTTCCTTCATGGTTGTTTTTTATTTAGAAGTTGGAAATAAAGATATGACAACCTGGAAGCATTATTTACATATTCTTCATTCTGTTCTCAGCTTTAACCACTCATTCCTATGGTTATAAATTGATGACATGAAACAGAAATCTATTTATGGATACTAATTTGAATTTACACACTTTTCTCCCCAAAGAAGTTTGCTTATAATTAAAACTCTAACTGCAGCCTTCAAAATGCATGAGTAGTAGAAAAAAATGCACGAGTATATTTGAAGTTTGGGGTTATAGAATTTAAGATGAAAGTGAAGTGAGTAGTATCATGCTAAAGGTTTTGATGGGGGAATTTTGATTGCTTATTCTGAATGAATAAATTTATATGCAATTGTTGAACACAATTGTTACGTTATTCAGTTTATGGAAAATGTCTAAGACCTCAGCTCTGCCTCCATAGAGCTTGCAGATTGGCTGGAAAGACAATGCGAGAGATGAAAGAGTAATAAGCATAGTATACATAACATCGTGTGCGGGTGGCCCAAGTTCTGTGTGTGTCATCATGCAGGACTGAGTCATGATAACAAAGAGGATGGGTTTCCATGAGATGGTCTTCTTTCCTCCAAGAGTGGGTGGGACACAGTTCAGAAGTCCTCTGCTCTGGTTGGGGGAAGTGAAGGGAAACACCATTTGTGTCTTTCCCCTACTTCTACCCCTCTGTGACTCAGGGGGTTGGTCTTAGCCAATTAGACCACTCTGACCCCACCTCCAGCTGGAATACTTAAGCCATCGGTTTTACACACTCATCTCTACCCCCAAACATGTTCTAAACGATCATGTATTTCCCTCTACAACTAAGATACGGGGTCTGAAAGTAATTTAAAAACACATTTCTTCTCTTCTGGAACATCTCTCTGACACTAAAAGACTCCTCAGTTTCAGCTTTTCCGATTTCCACCCAAGCTTTGGTACCAGGCACTCTTCCTAAACGTAGTGCCCGGAGAACTGAGTGATGGCCACAAGAGGGCAGCAAATAACATCAAACTCATCAAAGCAGAAAGGTCCCGAGTTCCTCTGAAATTGGCTTCTGTGCAACCATATTATCCCAAAGCAAGCCCTTGATTGATGCCTTCCCAGTGAGCGACATGGTGTGAAAGGTCAGTACACAAAAGAATTAGAACACAGAGTACAACGTTCATCTGATCTGCGGTGGGGTTATCTTATCCGGACATGCAGTGTCTCAGGTAATAAGTCCAGAAGCAGCCCACTGTATCACAGGGACAGAGCTCAGACACTCCATTCAATAAAATGTAAATGCCAAGAGATTCTTGGACTTCGATTTTTAAGCCCAGCCCTTGCTAGCATAGTGCCCAGTTCTGGAAGATGGAAGGTAACTGTGGGATGCCTATGTGAATGGCTGAGCAGTGACAGCATCATCTAAAATGAACTCATCCTTAAAAATAGAGTGGACCTTGAACCTAGTTACACGGGGCCAGCACCGTTTTTAACAGTAATGCAGGCATATTTCGAGCTTTGCAAGACTTTGTTCTATTTCTACGTTAACACGGTGTCAGGCAGGTGTCAGGAACGTCCTTTCACACTAGGGCCACCCGGCGGCAACAGAGAGGCCCTGCCATGGCTGGGGTGGGCCTGTTTGCCCACTTGTCTTTCGTTTGGCAACAGGTTCGCCGGTCATGTCAGGTTACTATGGCGTCAGAAGATCTTTTTTGTCTGACTCAGACTTCCACAACAGTAAGCCGTTTTCCAATGACGTCTACACCTCCGGCGGCGTGGCCAAGCCCTTTCCCTGCGAGTCGTCGGCGGGGCAGAGCCACGCGGCGCTGCTCGAGTCCTACCTGGCCGAGCCCTACGGGGACTACCGCCCGCCTGCCCTGACCCCCAGCCCGGGCTCTCTGTTCAGCGCCTCCCCGCTGCCGCCGCTCCTGCCGCCGCCCTTTCCCAGCGACCCGGCTCACTTCGTGTTTGTGAGTATTATTTCAGGAACAGGGAGTTAGAGGAGGAGAAAGGGCTCTCTGGCATCAGCCCCGCCCCGCACTGGGCATCCAGGTCGAAGCGGGTCTGACTCTTGGAGACCCCTGAGGCTGCTCTGCTGTTGCCCAAAAGGGCCAGGTCAGGCCAGCTCTGCCAGGACCCCTGAGGGAGACTTGCTCATAGATGGTTGTTAACCTTGACAGCAAGCGCTCATCTAGGGATTTGAACGAAAAACAAAACAAAACAAAAACTATCAGGTAAAATTGACGTTCATTTTGCTAATAGTCTGCAGATTTTGCCACATGTTCCCCCAATGCCATTAGCACAAGTCATTATCATTCCTCCTGCTCATAAGAGAGAAGCATGTAGTGACATCTAGACACTGGCTAGTTGTCTTTCCATGCCAGCACAGGTGGCTTCTTCCCACCCAGTGCTCTGCCTCCCACTTTCCCAAGAATATTTCTACCATAAAAAGTTGTTCTCTGGATCCTTCCAACAAGATGAGCTCATAGAGAGCTGAAGAATGCTAAAACTCTTCATGAAAACTAAAACTGTAAAGCCTTCTTGCCATAAAGGTGAATCTCCAAAGGTGGGAGAGGGAATTAACATTATTGAGTACCTATTCTATACCAGGGATATTTATGGGCTTTTGTTCATTTAATATGCACTGACTCAGGGAATATTTATGAAAGTACCATTTCACAGATGAACAAAGTGAGGTGCCCAGAGTTAGGAGGGGAGTAGGTAGCACAGCTATGAAAGAGCTAAGCCCACTCCAAGAGAGGTAGGCTTGAGGAGGTAGTATCAAATCTATTTCTTCTCTCACTGAGGTCAGAGCAGCCTCCTTCACCCACTCCAAAGCTTACTGTGTAGCTGGAAGTCTACTCCTTCAAAAAGCTGGCCAAGGGCCGACTTACCCACTAGTGTAAAGGGTATTCTGGGACCCAGAGATACCTGAGCCTCAAAAAGAATGCAAGCAGTGCTTTATTGTAAACAATAGAATTCTGGGTACATGGCCATTTTATTCTTCTCACATTTCATTCATTTAATGTTGTTTTCTGGGAAATGTAACCTCAATACATATAGGAAATCTAATTCAAGAGTAAAAAAAAGAACCAAAGCATTCCCCTCTGGTGTCAGGATGAAGCTGCCTGGGTGGGCTTTAATAGCAGAGGGAGGGTCCTGAGGCTACTCTGGAAGTTGGCTCCAGCAGCAACCCTGGCAACAGAAAAGCATCAACTAATACATAACCCCATTCTCTTCAGAGGGACTCGTGGGAGCAGGCAGTGCCTGATGGTCTCAGCCAGACGGACCCCATGCCCACCGATGCTCTACAGACCTTGCCACCCAGCACCAGCTGCCTCTCCCAGCTCGAGTCAGGAAGTGCCACACAGCACAGGAGCTCCACCTGGGGGACCTCCCTTGCTGGCACTCAGTCCTATTCTCTGCACACGCTGGAGGATCTGCACAACACATCTGGGTACCCCACCCCACCTCCTTACCCTTTTACCCCTTTCATGACAATGTCAAATGACCTACCACCAAAGGTGGTACCTCTCTCCCCAGATGAGGGGACAGACCCCTCTTCCCTTCATGACCATTCAACTTGGACCAAAGAAGACGGGAGTGTGGCCTGGGGGTCATATGAATGCCGCAGAGCTTACTGAGGGTGTGGACCAAAGGACTTCTGTGCTTTTCGCCAAGTTGAGTTCTGTATTCCAGGGATTGCTTTAGATGTACTGGCTCATTCGGAACTAGATTTTCAGGATAAGCCATAATGCCATCCTTTGTTAATGGACGATGGCATTTATTTGTAATCTTTACCACCATAACCCAGTTGAAATACAATACAGTGTCAATTAAATATACCATGGACCATATTCTAGTGAGGCAACTTTACAGTGAGGTCATTTTGGAAATTTAGTAGCCAATTCCATTCTGAATCTTCTGTTATCTTTGAAATATCATTTTGGGGCACTGATTTTTTTTCCTTAAATTATGTAGATCATAAAACAGAATGGTTCTTCTGTGTAATTTTTCTTAGTTATAAACCATGTGTATTATTTAATAAAAGAGATAGCTAGGGTATAATATAGGTTGGGGCACATAAAATAAAATTCATTTTATACCATATGACATTAAAGAGTGAAGTGTCATATTCTTTTCCTTCATTACAAGGGCATGTAAAGGCACTGTAAAAAGATATGGCACTGAGTGTAAATGTGTTACTGTCAATAAAAGAGGATGAGGTCCAGAGATTACATGTGTGTGTTTTTTTAAAAAATACATAGTTTCAACTCTGTTTTAAAGCCCAGGATGTCAAAAACTTAATCCAGCCCCTCCCCGCCAAAAAAGCCAAAAATTTTATTTGATCAGTGACTGTGTAAATTAAGGTAGACATGGTCTCTCTGAGAAATAAGCCTAGGGTTATCAGAATGGATGAGTAAAATGGACAGTTGGTGATCAAGTCAGAATCCTTGCATTTTAAAGAAAATGGGAATAAGCTATTGACAAAAAAAAAAAAAAAAAAAACAGACCACCTGATGCCAAAAAGCAAAGTGGCTTGGAAGAAGAACATATTGTCAGGTGAGTCAGTGGCACCACACACAATGTCCCCTAACTGTGCCTTGCCAGTGGCTTACGGGTCAGAGATGTATGGCTCTCACTGTGTAAAAATGAACAATATCTGAAACACTAATCTGTCTCCTGTAAGTCTGACTGGAGTGGGTTCCTTTGCCAATGATGCAAAACCCCCACCAAGCAGTGCACCTGTCTGCAGGCCACGCCCATCATAAATGCCCTGCACACACTTTGACTGGAAGTACATAAATCAAGGCCCACAAATTACATGTACACCCTTCCTCCTGTCTTTCTACCACCAACCTTCCTTTACTTCCTTCTCACATCTTTCTGATTCCGCTGGTCCCTCCTTGCCATCTCCTGGAAGCCAAGACTCTCATTGTCCAGCCAATTGCCCAAAACCCTTCAATGCAGTCTCTATCACATCTTCTACAAGTACTCATTCTCTACTTCAGGTAGGTAAGAGTCCTGAAACTCACATAAAGGGACTTGTTCACACTTAGATGTAAATAATTGATATTTCTCCTTCTCTACTCCTTTAAGGATATTTTCTGGTTCGGCAAACACATTTCTAATGTATGGAGTACCAGCAGAGATGCTTGGGCAGGGAGCCTTCCTTTACCTCACCCCCTAAAGCTCTCTCCCAGGAGAGCCAATCAAGAATGAGCCTCACCTGCTGGGCAGTATTCCTTCAGGCCACCCAGCTCTTTTCTGGCAGCCTGGTATAAAATTTTTTGCCTTTTCTTAAATTTCATTTTGTATTAGCAGGCAATAATTGTACACACTTGTAGAGGTACAATGCAATGTTTCAATACATGTATATACTAAATGATGACCCAAAGTAATTAGCATATCACCTCAAACATAATTTCTTGATAGTAAAACATTAAAAATCCTCTCTTCTAGTGTTTTTTAAATATATGATGTATTATTATTGACTATTATGGTTTGAATATGAAGTGTCCTCCAAAAACTCATGTGTTGAGGCCTTGATCCCCAGTGGAGTAAGGTTCAGAGGTGGGCTTTCACAAGTGGATCATCAATGGATTAATCCATTCATAGCTGAATGGACTACTGGGAGGTAGTGGGCCATGGTTGGAGGAATTGGGTCACTGGGGCATGCCCAGGAAAGGTATTTCTTGTCTTCAGCCCCTTCCATTCTCTTTCTGCTCCCTGACTGCCATGAGTTAAGCAGCTTTGCTTTATCATGCCCTTCCACCATCATGTTCTGCCTCACTTCAGGCCCAAGTCAATGGAGCCCACAGACTGTAGACTGAAACCTCTGAAACCATGAGCCAAAATAAGTCCTTTCTCTAAATCGTTCTTCTCAGGCATTTGTCACGGCTACTGAAAGCTGACTAACACACTGACTATAGTCACCCTACTGTGCAAGAGCAGAGCACACCAGAACTTATTCCTCCTAACTGTAACTCTGCACTACGCGTTGACCAACTTCCCCCCGCACTTCCCCGCTTCAGCCTCTAAGAACCATTATTCTATTCTCTATTTCTATGAGATTGACTTGTACATATTATGCACATGAGTGAAATCATGGTGTATGATTTCAGCTCTACAGCTGGCTATTTCATTTAACATATGTCATCCATGTCCTACCATGTTGTCACACAGGACAGGATTTTATCTTTTTGTGGCTGAATGGTATTACATTGTATCTATATAGCACATTTTCTCATTCATTTATCCACTGATGAACACTTAGGTTGGTTCTTTACCTTGGGTATTGTGAATAGAGCCGCAATAAATATGCAAATGTACATCCCTCTTCAAATTATCGAGATTCCTCAAAAAATTAGAAACATAACTACCCTATGATCCAGCAATCTCACTCCTGGGAACAGACCCAGGGGAAATGAAATTAGCCTGAGCTTTATTTTGCTTAATATTTTTCAGTAAAAAGTAGCAATATTCAGTGTGGGAGAGAAAAACTCCTTCTACTCCAGTGGAATTTGGGGCCTTAGTCCTGGTTCCAAATAACTTTCTCAGAGTCATCTGTCACCCAGCAGTTAACTCATACATGAACAACAGATCTCTGCATCAGACAGAAGAGATCTTACCCCCTCTATGGATTTAGGGATCCTCATGGCAGTCTGAGTCATTTTTCTGAATTAATTTTGTAAAATATATAACTACTCACCATTTGTTACTAAGAAGAAACAACACAATATTGTTAAGGTAAAATATATATATATATATGTATATATATACACACACACATATATATATATACGGAGATATATAGATATTTTATATAATATATAACATTAATATAATAATTATTATAGATAATATCTACATATTCCCACATAACTTCAGCTTTTGATTATAATGCTAAATATTAGACATGCTCATATCACTTACTTGGATGTTATCTGCCAATGTATTATGTCCATTCATCTCTTCACAACTTGAAGTTGCTTGGTTCTTAGTTAGGTAAAGCTCAGTAAACAGACCTCCAAACTCAAGAAAATGCAGTGAGTGCAATGATGTATACATTCTTCTTAAAGCATCGAATCCCTTTCTTGGTGTTTAACAAAGTCAGTTAATAAAAAAGGAGACACACACAGGCCCATACACATGTACTATCCATTTTGGTTATCTAGCCTAAAAGTGCTTAGAGGGAACAAGAGTAATGCTAATGAATTCCAAATAATAAATGATTTTTTAAAAAATTCTGTTTAGCTTTACAATGTGTTTCTCTACTTCTTATAATTTGTTTTATTGTTTTGGGAACATTTTTGCTAAAAAGTGAAAAAAAAGCTACAAAATTAAAAGATGAAAATTGTGTTTTTTTCCCTCTCCTATTTCTCATTTGAGTTCTCCCAATTTTTGTTGCTGTTGCTGTTTTAAAAATAATTTTACTATAAAAATTATTACTTACACTGTCATAATTGGAAATGACCACACATGATCAATAATTTCATTCCACCACTCATAAAATACCATGCTCTTAACAATCCAGAAAATGGGGCATTTGTCTTCTTTTCTACAAAGAAAGTGCTCCCTTCTCAAATACTTCCAATTTACTACTGCATGTGGAGACCAACCACACTTTCATGCCCAATACCAACATATGGAAAAGTGTACATTCTTCTCTCCTCCTCCTTCTTTGAACCTGCTCTTCTCTAGGAAAGCTAGAGAAAATTCAAGAGCTTAGATTCAAAACTCCATCTCTTTCAGGCCCTGCCAGGATTTAGCATATATGTAAGATTTAAGTAAGCAGAGATAGTAATGTCAAATTCAAGCTACTTTAAAAAGCTGACTAGATAAGAAAGTCCAAAAAAAGCCAAAAGTGAAATGTATCCATGCAAAAACTGCAATGTAGACAACCATCCGTGAATCACTGGAATCAGACAGAGCATGCAGTTGGAAGTGTTTATATTTCTCTTACAATGTTATTCAAACCCCAAAGAATGAGAGAAGAAAACCACATCTTTACCTTGTTTATTTAATAATACTTTTAAATGATCATTATGACCTGCCACAGCTCAGTTAATAATACAATGTCATGGTACTATTGTGGTAGAGGAAGAAGAATGAAGTGCTCCAAAGGAAATTCTACAAAGGGAAAAGAATTACTAACCCCAATAGTAAAATATATATTTACATATATACACAGAAAAGTATCTTTGTAATCCATTTTCAAAATGTAAATCTAAATGATACAGTCATAAGGAATTAAACATCAGTTATATTTAAAGTAGCAAAATAACTATTGATGTCCAAGGTTTAATTCACATTGCATTATAGTGATTCTGTCAACCACATACCAAAATTATATTTATCCATTGGTTTCAATCACTGTGTTCTGTCTAAAGTATACTTTCTATTCAAAACAATATTGTACTATTCTTTTCACACACCATACTCACCACCTATTGACTCTAGAAAAGTTAAGTGCAAAATCACACACTCTAAAGAAAGTGATTCACTAGCTAAAGAAACAAGGAAGGACACATAGAGGGCTCATCACTGTTTCTCCAGCACCTGGCTCAGGGCTTTGCATGTTGTAGGTGTTCACTAAATGTGTGGTAGGTTAAGCTAAAACTAGACCACAAAGATGAACAACTATTTAGTCCTTGACTCAGTGGATGACAGCTCCCTGAAACCAGTAAATGAGAAAATTCTCTCCAGTAGACAAGTTCTACAAATTCAGACACTAGGTGGATCTTGAGTTTCAGTAGCTACATATTTAAGATAATTGATTTAGTGTTTTAAAATATCTTTAAGAAAGGAAATTACTGAACTTTTGAAATAGCACAGGAAATGTTGAAATTTCATTTAGCATTGACATGACTATATCAATAAGACTTATAAATAAAAATTATTTGTTGCTTGGTATTATATTTAGTGTTGTTAAAACAAGTCTGATAAACAAATCAGAAACTAGAATCCCCCAGGGTCAAACTGAATAAATAATAATAAAACCTTCTACAGTTATTTGCAAATGATGATACCATATAATATTTGATTCTTGATACAGCAGTGCCCTACAACCATGACCCCTACTAAATAATCATGTAGGTTTGCAATATGCAATGTAATTTTCAGTACATTAGGAAAAAAAGAAAATAGTAAAAAATGTTATTCCAAAAGGAAAAACAATGGGAACCAAAATAATAATAATATCTAGGAATTAGATATCGCACTGGTAAGCTAACCT